CACCAGAGAAATAAGAATAATAATAAAGAAAGCCCGCAGTGCCTTTAACAACATGAAACAAATGCTGTGTAGCCGAAGCCTAAAGCTGAAAATACGAATGCTTAAATGTTATGTTTTCTCGGTCCTGTTATATGGAGTGGAGGCGTGGACACTAAATAAGCAATGTATGGGTAAGCTGGAGGCATTTGAGATGTGGGCGTACCGAAGAATGTTAAAAATCTCCTGGAAGGATAAGATAACTAACCAAGTTGTATTAGACAAGATGAACAAACAAAAGGAGGTCGTATTGAGTGTTAAAATGAGGAAACTACAATACGTGGGACATATTACACGTGGTAATAAATATCAACTGTTACAACTAATTATGCAAGGAAAGATTGAAGGTAGGCGCAGCATAGGTAGGAGAAGAATGTCATGGTTGAGAAACCTCAGGGAGTGATTTGCTTGCACTTCCATACAATTGTTCCGAGCGGCAGCCTCCAGGGTCAAAATTGCCATGATGATAGCCAACCTTCGTAGCGGAGATGGCACGTGAAGAAGAAGTTGAGATTGATCGTAGTCGCTTTCTTCGATGACGGAAGATTCCTCGTATGTTGGGTTTATTTTCTTTATAATTCTTGTGATATTAATTTTCATGCTACGATCATCTATGTTTGAGTGAACTATTTTTAATAAGGTGTATAAGCCGTCAAAATCTTCGGTCTAGTTTTTGGCTATTGTTTCGGGAACTTTTGATCCCATTGCATTTATAACGAACTCACATAATTCAGTGAAGTTTAGTGTATATGAAGAAGAGCCTGTCGTTAAAATGTTTTTAATTGGTTTTAATGTGGCTTCGACATCTAAAATCTTTTTTTTTACAGATTTTTTGGAGCTGTAAAAGTTAGTTTCTGAGATTTCAGGAGAGGTTGACATTTGCCTTTTTCCTTGATGGTTGTTTTAGTATTATTGTTGTTTACTGAAGTTGTTAAAGATGTGTTGTAAGCGAATCATTTGTTGTTGGGATATCTTCAGAAGTAGGATTGAAACGGTAGGTTTTATTTTCTGAAATTTTTGTTGCTGTATTATTTTGATTAAAATTTCCATGGATTCGAGTTCCGAGTTGTTTTTTAAGTGATTCTGTACCAGTTGATGTTGATATACAGTTTTCATCTGTGACCAGTGGCGCATCCAGGGTGGGTTTGGGAGTTAACTCCCCCCCTCAGGGCCCTATTCCGACACTGTTACTTACAAAGTTTAAGTACTCAAAATGGGTACCATAAAAAAATTTCGGTGCCCAACCAAAACTCACCCACAGAAAAATTCTAGGTGCGCTACCGTGTGTGACCAGTAGAATTACATCGAGATCAATTTAAACCATCTAGTATTGTAACGATAGTATTTTGCCTACCACAGGGGGCATTAATACTGGAGATAGAAAATTGGGGGAAAAACTATTGGGGGTGGAGATAGGGCAAGCAAAATAATCGCTACTGATGCGAACGGCACTCAGGGTTTCGTAGGAGAGCTGGGTCGTGGATAGGTAAAGATAAAGGAGTTAGAATGGGGCAAGTACAAGAAAATGAAATAATGGGGTCATTAATCTCTTGGGATAAACAAAATAAAAATAAACAAAAAACACCTCAAGGAATTTAATATAGGGCGCCACTTGAGGTGCCTAATTATGCCTATTACAACCACTAGTTGTAACTAGGGAGATAATTAGAAAAAAAATTTAAAACATAAAAAACATATCTTTTTCAAATAAAAATCAAAAAAGGTTTAGCTCAAAAAAATAAAGAAAATGTTAAGACAACAAAATTTAACATTTATTTATTTGTCACCACAAACAGTTACATGTAGAAAAAACAAAACCCAAAAACTTAGATGTGTCATCCGCTTACAAACTCTGTTGCTGCAAAACTTACAAAATTGCAAAAAAAACTAAACACATAAATTGACAGCTCAACTCAAAATCTAAAATTTACAATTTTAAATGTCAACTAAAGCAATTATTTAATTCAAAACAAATTGTCTGTCTTTACTTTAAAATTTGATCAAAAGTTACCTGGATTTTCACTAACAAAATGCACTAGAATTTGTGGAACCAGACGCCATTGGAATATCCGACACCATAACTGGAACTGAGGGCTTTACTCTCTGTGTAATGAACACAACTATCTATCTCCATATCTTCATATCTCGAACAAATCTATCTCCATACTGCCAAAAGCCTTGGATGATAACCAGGGAGAAACAAAACGAGGATGGAATCGACGATTCTTCCATTCCTCACTCAAACATTTACTGAACCATTAACTTCACACTGCTACACATTTTCTTCATAAAAAAAGACGAACAAACGTCTTCATAAAAAAACACAAACAACGAGGAACATTTCGAATTTGAAGTCAAATTCGGACATAACGTTGACCGCTTTTCACCGCGGCTCCAACGATAGTCAAGAAATTCTATTAAAATTGATCGCATTCATACAAACGCTGACATAACAAGACACCACGAAACGACGTACATATCCTTTTGCGACGCATAAACATGAAAAGAAATTGCCGAAGTAAAATAAACAACTCTCAAATGGTTTTATTACTCGGCGACGAAACACTTTTGGGTACTTTGCAAGATACGAACTAACAAACACGGGAGAATTCCTCGTTTTATTTTTTAAATATATATAAAGAGTTTTTAATATATTTTATTATACGAGGAGGTTTCAATATACTCAAAAAAATCAATGAAATTGAAAATGCTACAGTATTGAACAGACAAATATTTGACGCCTAAAACTTAAGCCATGGCTATACTTAGACTTAGGCATACCAACTTTCAAAAACGTTAATTTGGAACCTGCTGTTAGTTCTAGTTGTTTATGTTCATTTTCTTCGAATAAGTCTTCGAATTTCTATTTCATTGCCTTGGATGACTACGGTTTTGTGATCGTTTAGTAAGTTATGTACTATGCTAGTATTGTTTAAGTCAATACACACTCGGTTATTGGGTATTTGAGATGCAAATATAACATTTTTTGGCGTGAGTAGAGATCCTATGGCTACTACGTATTCATGTACATATTTTAATACGTTGGATAGCTGACAGGATAATGGCTTGTTCTTTTGAAGGAAAATTGAAATTGCTTACTGGAATTGCATTGGAATATGTCTACGTGGAAAATATTGCATTGGAATATATCGATATAGTGGATATGTTAATTATTTTCAAAATCATCCATTTTTAATTTTTCTTTTCTTCATTTGCTAGAATTTTGTTAAACCGATCCTGTATCTACTAATTATTTCGACTTATCGAAGTTATTGAAAACCAGAAACAGGATTAATTGAATGTGATTTACCTGAATTATTGGTTATGTAGGTATAATTAATTTTTAATAAATTGGTAATGTACTCAGTTTCTTTTTGTATGTGATGAAACTTGGTTATTTTAATAAACTATTTCGTAAATTATATTTTACGTTTCTTGATTATAAACCATCGAATACAATAAACCGGCATATCTATGTTTTATAGACCTGACAAAGGCTTTCGATCGCATCCAAGTTGAAGACGTCTTACTCCTACTGTATAAAGAAACATACCAATCAATATTATACAAACCATCGAAAACATGATGAATATATTGATTACAGCGCGAAATTCTGCGTTTAATATTGATTCGCCTCCTATAAAACGGTAAAATTGGTGGTAAATAATTCAAAACAGTCATTTTATATGTACAATTTTCCGTAGAATTCGAATTCGTTGTCAGAAAACCTCTAAAAGTTATTTGGAAGCTGAAAACCGAAGAAAAGGCGCTATAATAGGCGGGGAAAATCGCGTTTTTGGACTCTTATAGGGCGCAGCGGCTTCAAACATATAAAAAGGATTTCTGAGACAAATTTTATTCGAAAGTTTTTATATTAAGGAGCCTTTGGTGAAAATTTGAAAAAAATTAAAAAGAGTGTTTTTTTGAGATATGAATTTTTCAAAAAAGCGTTTTGTTTCACATTTTGTGGCTTTATATGACATCATATGGCAATTCTTACACCGGGATCGTGTTTAGCGGAAAATTTTACATTGGAAAACATATAGTGGATATTTGTTTAAGCATATTTAGCTCGCTGTACTAAAAAAATTGGCGAAACACGAAAAAAAATTGATAAAAAGCGTGAAACTTCAATAGCGCACCACGGCCGCCATTTTGAATATTAAGGTCTGAAAATTTGACAATCATGTTTTTTTGTCTAGTACAACATGTGTGTAAAATTTCAGCCAAATCGGAGAGGGTGACCCCTCTGACTTGTGTCGATTATTGCTGGAATTACCCTCATCTGTTGTTTATATACCACGTCCGTAGATGCGTCTGTAAGATATCCGATTGTTGTCGGTTTTTTGAGTACAGATCAAAGGGTTTCGGTGCGGACGGCCGACGCCTTTCCACACCTCTGACTTCTATTCCATTTTTTTAATGATTCTATTCCGATGTACACTATACTCAAGTAGTAGTTGAACGTTCTAAATAGACATATAGCTGCGGCAGCTATGGTCTTAACATCAACATCTATTTTTTTAATGTTCGCGTAGATATTGCATCTCCCGGGAATTAACACAGATTGAACGATCTACAGATGTGTCCAGATGTGTGGTCAGCTTGTGATGATACATCTGCAGATGCGTCCGCAGACGAGTCTGCTGATGTGTAGTGGAGGCATAACAACAGTCACAGCACAAAGATTGAATTTTTTGTTTTTGTACAACTTGTGTACATTTTGTGATTTGTTTATTTTAATATATCAATTGTTTATTTTTATTCTTTTTATTACATTGTAAATGACGTATTCTGAAATGAAAGTATATTTTATAAAAGTATGCTTTCATGAAGGAGAAATGAACAATTTATATAACTTTGGGCTAGTTTTTTTTTAGTTATCCCATTTAATTTGCACAACTGTATATTAAAAAATTGTGCTAATATTACCCATATTACAATAACTAAATTTTAAATTTTAGGTTCATCTTTTAAAAATGCATGACATGTCAGTAGGCATATTTTTCAGAAGGAGTAGATTGACTGAAAGAGCTTATATTTTAAAAGAAATGGATAAAGCAATAATAAGAGAAGGTGGTGTACATAATTTACCTATAGATGCTCTTAAGAAGGCTTGCTACATTCGAGGTAAATTAAAAAAAAAACATTTTTTCATTAAAATTTTTTTTTAATCTGGACAATCAAAATCTGCATCAATTGTTGAGAGGTATTAGCTAGAAGATATAGACATATAATTTTGGATTTTGAATTTTTTGGATTTTTTTGCAAGTATCGCTACTGTTGCAAATAAATATTTTAAGAGAGCAACCATGGACATTAAATATGTTTGGTGAAACTAAATAATAATGTAATTGACTCTACATTTGACACTGTCCATATATTTGACAGGTTTTATCTAAAGCTTCTGTGGGATTCTTCGATACTTACTCCATTTATATCGGTTTTGTACAAGTCGGGGGGGTATACCCTATTGTAAAATCTGGAACTAGAGTGTGAGAAAATCTTCACCACTGTACAACGCTGTCACCACTGGAACATCCTCTATATGAACCTTAAGGATGCTTATCCCTGCGAGCGGCTGCAAGGCTTACTGGTCCCAATAGTCTGAACTGGCTGGTTCGCCTTCGTGGCTTTACGAGAAGGTAGGGACTTTCCGGGATAGGGGTTAAGGACTTCTAGGTCTCAGGTCCTGTAAAGAGTTGAGTCTATGGGCTTACTTTAGAAACCGGAGATATGCATAAGCAGAAATTTTGTACTCTTCTGGTCTATGTCTGAATCGGCCGGAAGGAACATAAAACCCAAATTTACAGTCTACAAATGTATTGAATATACTATGTGGTTTACAATTAAGTTAACAAGTCTGTCAGATATAATCAATAATAACTCGTTCGGGCACGAAGGGAGACGAGAAGAGATCTTAGCAAGAAAGTAAAGGGGTGACAATCTGTACTACTATAATTTACTCGGGTTAGTATATAGAATTTTGTTACCTTTCGCGTATTTCAGTTCCTCTGGAAATCGAATTCAGTTGTGGAGATACCGCGCTCTGTCGCGATTTTCGAACTCCCAGTACCCGACACTTATACGGAACTATATCCCGTCGAAATATAACAATCGCGCGTAATCCGCACGTGATGTCGCCTCTCGTCTTGACAGCCCTGCCCGAAGATACTGACTGACCCACGCTCCCGCCGGCAATTACTGCCTCGGGCAGTCACGGCTGCCCAGCTACTACTGACCCTCTGGCCTCCTTTGCTCTTTGTTTTTTATTGAGCTCGTATTCTCAAATGCCGATTGTAGCACCAAGGTCGAGTTTTTGCTGAGTCCTCGTGATTTAAACCAGGTCGGCGCTGGTGATATTTTCCAGAGTAGGTCTATGTTTATTAAAACGTGACTATTTTCTTTTTTGAACAATTGTTGCAACTGATATTGGCTCGTGTTATGCAACTAACTGGGTCAAATTGTTTTTCTTTGTATAATTTAAAATGTATACGTTACTGTATCGAATTTATTCTTTATTTAATTTGGAATATATAATAATTACTAAAATGATTATTATTCTCCCTTATGCTACTAGCCCGTATTTTTTCTATTCTTTATTTTCTTGCTATGTTTACATTATAGTTTAATAATTTAAGGGAGTAAGTTCACACCGCAGTTTAAAACAGTTAAACTAACGTTTAACAATTCTTTGAGTAGATGGCAGCACGTGCATCATATTCTAACATTTTGATTTTCCGAAATTTAATTCTCTGATCAGCGACATTGTTGCGAACCAGGCCAAGTACTGGGACATAATATAATATTCGATCGGTAGAAACGGTACAGTTCTTTCTCAATCGGCAGTATTTTTTAATGTAAGTTGAAATTAGCTATTTTTAAAGTTTCACAAATTCTAATTTTTGGATTGGATCATTAGATATACTTTTTTAATTTTTGTATCGTGTTGTCTTGTTGTTTATTTACTTTTGAAATTAAGTTCCTGTTTTGATTTTCAGTGTTGTTTTTTTTTAGTTTTACAAACATTTTAAATAGTGCATATTAGTCTTTTTTCCTAATTAAATTAAAAAATTAATAATTTATTAACCCAGCAGCGGACACTAAGGGCGGATCAGTTCTTTATAATTTTACATTATTCTTGGCAACAAGGCTATTGAATTTATATTTATTTTTAGCCGATAAACAAAAACCTTCCGTTGCTAATAAAATTTGAACTTCACTCTGTCAAAAGCTCATTAACCCACTCAATCTTGTTTGTAAAGTTGTAACTTCTGCAGTTTCTCCGATATTTTCCATGGACACGGAAACATAAGATGCCATAGTCGAATCATATCTTCTGACAAACATGACTCAATAATAGGATATAATATCGCCGCAAACTTGTCAGGAGTTTTGTTTAAAGTCTCAAGTGAACGAAGTTGACGCTCTAATATAAACTTCAATCTGGAGATCCTCTCTGCCAAACCTAGACTGCAAACTTTTAATCATTTTTGAACTCGATTGGAGGTAATTTAAATGTGCGCTTACCTTTACATTTGATAACTCTGAACTTACTAAACCTGTTCTGTGATCATATTTGTACTTAAGTTTAAAGTACCTTGCACTGTATTTTATTCTTTGCCTTCATCTCACTGATTAAACTCTTCTTCGAATATACTTTCAAGTACCACACTCTCCACTGCACAAAACTCACTCTACTTTACTTGTAAGAGTTCCTAGGTTCCCACTGTAATCCAATTTTCTGCCAGGGTCGCGTGTCTACCGGTTCAGATAATAAACTTTACAAAACAATAGCAATTTTCGCAAATGCACTACGAACTACCGGTCTGCGTTTTCGTAGAAATAATACGTTCTTCATTTTCTGGGTTCGAAATAATACAAAATTAAATTTTAAGTACAAAAAACTTACTTTTACTTTTGTATGAAATTACGCAAGTGTAATTTTATTTTAATACAGTTTGCTTTGGTGGTAAAATATATACAAATCTACAAATGCAACTAACTGTATCCTACAATTATAATATTATTTTTAATATGACACATCATACATTCCCAGACGAAAAAGTCGTAAAATTTAATTGCCTCACTCCAGCACTAAGCTGGATGTACTGAGTAGGGAATTTTTTAAGCAAACCAGTAAACATAATACGTAGTTACTACTTATCCTACAAAAACGTTCATTCGTTTGAAAATATTTTATTAGGTACTTATTTCAGGCGACAATTCTGAATTATTTATTTATTTATTTTTACACACAACAGGAAGTTAAGACCTAGGCCATTTTTTTACAACATAATCCTAATATTAACTAATTACAATTATTTTTAAACAAAACTTTAACTTAAATATGTATATATAACATTCTTAACTACTCTGAAGGACCTGGTGTACAATAATTTCTCCATTTGCTTCTATTATGTGCTTTCATTTTCCAGTCGCTCAACTTCACGTGTGTAAGGTTTTCCTCCGCTTTACTAATCCACCTCGTTCTGGGTCTACCTCTTCTTTTGGGGCCGATTAATTTTCTGGTTATTACTAGTTAGGCATTATGTTTGCTGCCATTCTTTCCACATGTCCCAACCATCTGATTCTTTGTGCCTTGACGAACTTGGTAATGGTAGGTTCTTTGTATAAAGCCATTAATTCATTGTTGGTTCTTCTCTCCCAACCATCTTCTGACTTCCGTCCTCCAAATATGCGTTTCAATATTTTCCTTTCGCATCTTTCCAGAGTGTCCTCTTCCTTCTTATTTAATGTCCATGTCTCACCGGCATATGTTACTGTGTGTCGAATTACTGTTTTATATATTCTGAGTTTACCTTGTCTAGAAACGTATTTTGAGTTCAGTAGGGCTCTTAAACTACCTAATTTTTTATTCCCTTTTGCTATTCTGGCTTCGAGCTCCCATTTCTCTTTTCCAGTTTCATCGAAAACTACACCCAGGTATTCAAATTTGTCCACCTTTTTAAAACTATAGCTTTTACCACTTACATACCTCACACTAAAGTCTTCTTTTTTCCCTTCTGTCCCTCCCATGATCATATATTTGGTTTTGTCTTAGATTTAGTTCCAATCCGAATTTCTGTGCTTCTTCGATGATTTTCTTTACAACTCTTCTTAATTCTTTCTCGGTTTTTGCTAGGATCGTTAGATCGTCAGTAAATGCCAAGCACTGGTGCTTATTTTTCATGATCGTTTCTTCCACCTTCATGCTGCATTTTCTGATTACAGTTTCTAACACTAAGTTGAATAATGTAGTGGATAAAGGATCTCCCTGTCTCAAGCCTTTTGCAACCGTAAATTGATCTGATATGTGACCCTGCCAAGCAATTTCACACGTAAAGTTATTAAATGTCATTTTAACTAGCCGGATCAGTTTCTTTGCTATACCCAAATATTCCATTGCTCGATACATTTTGACTCTATCGACTCTATCATATGCTTGTCTAAAATCCACAAACAAAACATGCAGGGGAACTTTACCTTCATAACAAGTCGTTTGTATCTCCTTTAATGAGAAGATTTGGTCTACAGTAGATCTGTCCTTTCTAAAGCCGGCCTGATATTCATGCAGGATTCTTTCCATGTAGCAATTTAGTTTATTTCTTAATATTCTTGCCAATATTTTGTATACCGTGTCTAATAAGGCTATACCTATTCTGAATTATTTACCTGCCCAAAATCCATTTATTCCAAACTGATAAAGAAATTTGGAATTGTTTGAAAAATAGGTAAATTATGATCAAAAAAGGGATTATGGTAATTTGAATATTCATGTATAAGAACAGTATTTATAAGAAATCTAAAATATGTCAGTCAGTTGAAAAACAGCGTGACTACAATAACATTTTTTTTTCATATTAAATGTCATCAGGGGAAGTTTTTTCCTCGGAAAATTTCAGATTTTCATCTCATTTCTAATTATGACTCAAGTAAATTTCAATATTATTTTTTCACTTATGGAAATAATTAATCGACAAAATTTAGTCGATCATTACATAATATTGTTTTGTCTATAAAAATTAAATTTGTTAAAAAGTGAATAAAACTGAATTTGTTTTTATATTTATGTATTAAGTATGTAAAAACCAGTATAATCCCGCAGTAAACTTTACTGACCGCAGTTTGACTTTCAACCACGATTATATAACGTCAGGGTGTCAAGGATAAAAATGGTATACTTGTATATTTAAGACATTGTTCTGTTATACAATCATGATTAAACATAGAAAGTGAAATGAAGCCAAAATATTAACTGGGAGGGGCAGTTTTGCTAACAAAACCATGATTACTGCATAACCCATAGACAGTTATTGGCATAGACCACAAAACTAGTTTTCAATGTTTTGCAGATTTTTCTTAAATTTGACAAACGCGCATTTATCGCCATTAAATGCATCACTGCTACCTTCTACTAAATAACACGTGAACTTAGTTCCTCATCTATTAAGGGATAGCCGAACTAATTTATCATTATCAAAATGCCAACTTATTACGGTAACATCAACAAAATCCCTAGTTTGCAGCTTTTACTTGTAATTTTATCTTTAGGTACAGTTAATTTAAAAGTTACGGCAGTATGGATAACGAACATTTGCTTAAAATAGAGATTTTTGGATAGTTATTATCCGACAAGCTAGAGCTGGCGGGTGAGCTGCGCGAAAATAGAAAAGGAATTATTCTAAGAGAGATAGGAGAGGTACTTAATCGCGGGTGTCACAAATGCGTAGTTGCGTATCAAAAATTTAGTTGGATCTGAAAATTACGTTAATATATATGTTCCGTGGTTGTGTCATTGCGTGTGTGATAAACTTATTTACCACGAAAACAAAATAAAATAATAATAATATTGAATAAAACGTAAGAAAAAATTTGTTAATAATATTTATTTTCATAAAAACGTAATTAATTCTCGAAGGGAAGGTATTTTTGTATGTATCGCGGGACTGATGCAACTTGTGTGTCTTAATGATTACTAAAGTAAACACAACACAGAACACACGTTCTTTGTTTATTTTTCTAAGGTAAAATTAAGTATTATCGGCCTTTTATTTTGTGATGTTACTGCTTACAATATCATATTTCTTTTCCCATTTATGAAAATATGCAACGTATTCAAATATATAATTAAAGTGTGCAGCATATCTGTAGTAAATAAACATATTGGAGAAACACATTTCAATTTTTAAGTCATTTCTATTTCACATGTGTATAACCAATTGCGATAATGTAAATTTTAACATGAAGAACTGTTATTTAATAATTAGCTTGTACAGATATACGTTGTATTATCAATAATAGTGAACTGTAAAGTACTAATTAACTGATCATTGTTTACTTACTTTTTACTGGTATTTTTTTTGCTCTGTAAGTTTTTATTTATTGATTGATTATAATTTGATTGATTTGTAACTTAAATTAAATTTAAATCTGAATTTATTTTGAAAATGAGTATTATAATTACCAGTTAATTGAGCTAGACGTTCTTGTATCTTTTTTAAATCAACTAAGACTTTATCTGCATTAGCTTCTTCTGTTGTAAACTTAAAAACATTGAAAATTATTTCTCGTGCTTGACATCCCAAATGTTAGCCCGTTAATACACTTGCCATTTTAATCAATATAAATAATACACGATGTGAACTCCTAGCCGACTGCAATATAAATGAGCAATCCCTTCCACTTTTCAATTTGTTCTACGCGCAACCCGCCAGCTCTCGCTTGTCGGATAATAATCATTTAACATAGTTATTTTGTACCCAAGTTGAAAAATTATTACACAATACCGATTTTTAGGCGCGTTACCACGTAATTTATCACATGGATTCATTTAGGTGCAGTTATGAAAAAATTACTGTTTCTTTGGAAACTTTAACTAGATATCATTAAAATATAAAGTTTACATACATAAGTTGAAGATTTGTATTGAAATAGTGACGATAACTGTACCTAAAAAGTATATAAATTTTGACATTGTGTCATACCACCTTAATTTATTATTTGTTTTAGGTTTAAATCCAACTAATATGAAAAATGAAGAAATGATAAAATGGCTAACTGATTGGATTCAATTGTCATCCCATGTTGATAAAGATTCATACTCTCTACTGCTTCATGCACCCGTATTATTAAGCTACAATGCACCTTCAAATTGGATGCTTATCTATAAGGAAAAATACGATTAAAACCTATATATTGCATATTTTAATATGTTACATAAAATGTGTAATTTTTTACTTCATGTAGTATTACAACTCATCACCAAAAGTTGGAAATAAGAGATTTTTGGAAGTACATAGATTTATAACTACTTGTTTCAGTATTTTGATTAAATAAGTTTGTAAATGTGTTCTAAATTACACAGATCTTATTCTTGATTGTTTCTTGTTTATTATAGCTTACCGCACTTTGTAATCAATGCAATTTTTTTACCATATCATTTTTACGTAAGTAAACCCGTGAAAAATTAATTGCAGAATTATCGAGAAAAAAAATTACGATACATTGTGTCATGAAAATAATAAAGCGAAGAACAAAAAATGCAAAAATCGATACAAGTAAATTAAGGAACCCACTCATAAGGCAACGCCTGGCAGATGAAATCAACAACGGATTAATGAATGTTAAAGAACAAATTCTGCAAAATACTGAGACGGAGAAAAAATGGTTATTAATAAAGACAGAAATAGATAAAAGTCAAAAAGAAATTCTAAGATAATCAGATGTACAAAAAGTGGATAAACAAATAAAATACAGAATTAAGAAAGCGAAAGAACAATGCGCAGAAATAGAAGAATACCAGAAAAGACGTGATAGTTTTAACACACATAAAGAAAATAAAGAATTTAACTCACAACAATAGAACAAGAAAACCGGGAATACTGAAAGATGTAAATGGGAAACTTGTGTTGAATACTAACGAAAAATTAAAGAGATAGACAGAATATATCAATGAACTATTCAAAGACAATAGAACAGAACAGATGGAGATATAAGTAGAACAGGATATGGTTTTAACGATATTAAAAGAGGAAATTAAAATGGCATTAAAAAACAGCAAAAATGGTAAAGCATTAGGTCCAGAAGAAATTCCTATAGAAATTTAAAAATGCATGAATGATGAAACCTTAGACATTATAGTAGACTTATTTAACTCAGTATACAAAAGAGGACACATACCGAAACAATGGTTACTCTACACCTTTTGTGCTATCGCTAAAAATACAAACGCTAAATATTGCAGTGAATACAGAACAATATCAGTAATAAGTCACATTCTCAAATTATTCCTGAAAATATTACATGGTCGTATAAATAAAAAGCTGGAAGAAGGAATAGATGATAGTCAGCTTGGGTTCAGAAACGGACTAGGAACCTATGATATCTCGTATGTAACTATACGTCCATTAATAACGAACATGCTGTGTAGTGCCCTTTTGGTAGTCGTCTTGTTTGTTTTGTCTATCGTAATATAATATTTATCCCCTTACCTTTAATTTTCTATGCTGAATGTTAGCATTCAATCAGTTGTTTATTTTGAACTCAGTCGGAGGCCTTCCTTGATTCATTAAATCAAAATTTGTCTTATCGTAAATCTATTTTCATCCATAGCATCTATGATATCTCGTATGTAACTATACGTCCATTAATACCGAAGATGCTGTGTAGTGCCGTTTTGATAGTCATCTTGTTTGTTTTGTATGATCTTAATATAATCGTTATCCCCCCCTTTCATTTTCTATGTTGCATATTAGGATTCAATCAGTTGTTTATTTTGAACTCAACCAGAGGCCTTGCTTGAGTCAATAATCACTATAAATATAATGACTATAAATCATACGGTCGGCCGCAACTTATGCTACGATGTCTACTTCATATTTTCATATGTATTTCATAATACAGGAAAATATAGGTTTATACATCGTTAAAATCATGATTTGAGAGTGCCCCTCGTAACATTCATACTGTTGACGGTTTATTTATACTTACTGCAGCTCTATCTTATATTTAGTGTAGAAAATGTTTAGAAAGGTTTTCGAAGCCCCGCCCATTGTGACTTCAGAGGTGAGGTAGTCCATTAATACACAACTGACCGTTTCCACTAAACAGACTCGAGTTTCAAAAACTAGACAGAGTGCTCAAGACAGAGCACAATGGAGAAAAATGAGGGAGTCCTTTGTTAAGCAGTAGACGCAAAGGCTGGGTGATAATGATGACGATGAGTGTTATCCCTGTATACTTCCTAGATTATTCCTAAAAGGTATGGAATAAGGCCGAGTTGTTGTAAAGCTTGCCACAATTTAAGTCTTTGAACTGTATCATACGCCTTTTCTAGATCGATGAAGGCTAGATGTACTTCGGTACCAATCGCTATTCTTTTTTCTATTAATTGTTGGAGTATAAACAAATTCTCAGTGCAAGATCTACCAGGCGTAAGTCTACTTTGGTCTTCGTTAATTAGATGTATTACATCGTCTTGTATTTTCCCATTTATTATCATCCAAACAATCTCCCGAAAGTAGGTAGGACACTTAAACCTATGTACCAGTTAGGATCTTTTCGATTGCCCATTTTAAAGATGGACACTTGATGAGCGGTTTTCCATTCAGATGGTACTTTAATTTGTTGGCAGCACATTAGAAAAGTTATTCGTTTTATTATGAGTGGATCTCCTGCTTTAAGTAACTTTACAGCTATATTGCCAGGTCCTGGAGATCGCCCGTTTTTCATTTAAGTTAACGCAGTACGGACCTTGTTGTTCGTAGTATTAATGTTACTATTTGTTTGTCTCTCCATACTGTATTTCTCCCTCATATATTCCAATCTGGACTCTTGGAGTAAATTTTACTATATTGCTAGATGTTTTATTTGTTAGCCATTTCTTACATATTTTGTTTTTTTCTTGTATAATTTCTTTTACGTTTTCTGTCATCCATGGTGGTTCGTGGTGTTTTTTGTCGTTATTCTCTATGCCTAATACTTCATACTCATTTTTTTTATTATGGTTTTGAGATTGTTGTATTCTTGTTCTACATCCATATTTTTTTCCATCTCATTTAATTTTTTTTTTAATCTAGATTGAAAAATCCTTGGTTGGATTAAAAGGTGCAATTTATATCTTTCTGTTTTGTACTGTGTAGAATTGTTTCTGTTTTCTTTCTGTTTTGTACTGTGTAGAATTGTCTCTCACTTTCGGTGTTCTGTTTGTAGTATTGTTTCAAGGGGCACAAAAGATTAGCTAGAAGAAAGTAGTGGTCTGTCCCACAGTTAGATCCTCTTTTTACTATGCAGTCTTGGCACTTAAATTTTGATTTCTGTCTCATTATTATATGTTCTATGATCGACTTCTGTTGGAGTGAAGGTCGTTCCCAAGTGTATTTATGAATATCTTTATGTTGGAATTGGGTATTTATTATTTTTAAACCAAAAAGTTGACAGAACTCATTTAAGCTGTCCCATGTTTAACTATTTCTCCGTGCCGTCCCACCACGTCATTGTCTATTTGAGAACCCACTCTGGCATTTAGGTCTCCTAACAGTATTATTTCTTGATGACTTTTTATTTTATCACAAATGTTTGATGACCCTTCATAAAAGGAATCTTTAACTTGTTGATTTGAATCGTCTGTTTACGCTAGACTCCAACAACTATTGTTTCGATGCCATACAATGTGACAGTTATTGTCAGAAGATTTAGCGTATACGTGTTTCTCTACTCCTGACCATATATGAATGTAGCCTTTAATCTGTTCATTTCCTTGGCCTTTCTTTTTGGTTTCAGAGAGCACTATGATTTCCATTTTTTGCTTCGTCATTTCAGTTCAAATTTCCATTGCCTTAGTGTTCCAAGTACCAATTTTCAAAGTCCTTTTCTTTGCTATACCTTATTCCATTAAGCGATGCATGGCATATAAACAACGATAAATTTAACAGATAATTGTTAAAGGTATTCCAAATGAGTCTACTCGTTCCGTTAAGTAACAGTATAATTATGACACTTTATTATTTTTTTTCTTTTCTCAAATATTCGTGTTTATTGCATAGTAAATAAATTAATGTTTTCACTGAATACATAGTAAGTGAAAAAATAATCCGATTTATAAAATTAATGAATATTTTATGCATAAATGCAAGTAACAGTTCTTCAAAAATATTTAAAAACTAACCGAAATGTCCATCTTTATTTCGTCTGGCGACGTTATCGGCGGGTCATACCGGTTTGGACACGATTTAATGTTTACATTTTCCTGCATCGCTTATTGAATTTTACTATAGGCGTCGTATTTTTAGTCAAGAGTTTTTTTTCAGTTCTGTTGCGGTTTCTTCCCTTGGTCTACATGTTCCAGTTTTAAGGCGCCATAAACTAACCTTTCACTATCTCTCTCTCTCTCTCTCTGCTTCTATATAACGCACATCCATTGTACGCCATATACCCGGTGGGTATGCGACATATGTCTTGTCTTGAGAACGTGAGAGTAGAATTTACTGGCAGAGCCGAGTTGTGCTTCCAGAATCCCCAACCCTTTCGTTGGGAAACGGGTAGACATCTCTCAGAGTTTTATTGCAATATCAGAATTCAGAACCTCTTTTAAATAAAATCAGTTATCTCGTAAGAATCAGCGTTTCTTTTCTTCCCAAAAATTTAATGTAATCGAAAATTTCCCCCTTTAAACAAACTTTCAAGCAAGGTTATTCATCAGATATTTTTAAAAGTGTTTCTAAATATGTTGTTGACCAGGGAGATGATATCTACTTTCATTGCAATGTATTTCTAATAGCATTACTGTGTAACTTTACTTCTGTGTAATTTTGGTACAATTTTTTACAAAATTCTTCTTCTTCTTTGTCAACCATTTTCCATCCACTCCTGAATGTAGGTCTCCCCCAATTGATTCCATCTTTCTCTATCTTGCGCCAATCTAATCCACTGTTTGCCTGCCACTGCTCTTATGTCATCTACCCATCTTTTTTGAGGTCTTCCCATGCTTCTTGTTGTCGTCCTTGGTCTCCATTCTAGAATTCTCCGTGTCCACCTGTTGTCATTATATCGGGCTACGTGACCTGCCCAGCGCCATTTCATTTTTGTAATTTCTTCCACAATATCCCTAATCCTCGTTCTACGTCTTATCTCGGTGTTTCTAATCTTCTCTTAGTGATATTCCAAGCATGATTCGTTCCATTGCTCTTTGCGTTGTTTCTAATTTTTGGTATGTGCTACTGTCTCCAAGCCGTAGGTACAAACAGGTAGTATGCATGTGTTATACACCTTTTTCTTTAAGTTTATAGGAATGGAGGTGATTTTCAAGATATGTGCTAGTTTGCCGTAAGCGCCCCAAGCCAGTTGTGTTCTTCTTTTAATTTCAGCATCATGATTTGGTTTTCCTAGTTTGATAACATGACCTAGATATACATAATGTTTCACATTTTCTATGGTATGATTTTGTATTGTTATATTTGTCTGGTCTCTGCTCAGTATTTTTGTTTTGCTGTAATTCATTTTTAAGCCTACCGCTCCTGAAACTGTATTTAATTGTTGTAACATATTTAGTTCTTGGATATTACCGGCTATTAAAACTATGTCATCTGCGAATCTCAAGTGGTTTAAGTATGATCCGTCGACGTTGATACACTTATTGTTCCATTCCAGTTTCTTAAAAATATCTTCTAGAGCAAGGGTAAATAGTTTGGGAGAGATGGTGTCTCCTTGTCTTACTCCCCGTTGTAGTCTTATGGGATTAGTTTTTGTGCTTTCGTCCAGCTTTATATGCATGGTGGCATTTTCATATATGTTTTTAATTATGTTAATGTATCTTGAATCTATGCGTGCATTTTCTAGAGATTCAAGCACTGACCATAATTCGATGGAATCGAATACTTTATGGAAATCGACGAACACCATATGAATTGGAACATTATACTCGGTGCATTTTCTATCAGTGTTCTTGCGGTGTGCAAGTGGTCTATGGTATTAAAATGTTTTCTGAATCCAGCCTGCTCGATAGGTTGATAGAAATCGAGCTTATGTGTTAGGCGGTTGGTTATGATTTTAGTTAGTAATTTATACAGATGTGATAGCAATGATATTGGTCGGTAATTCTCTGTGTTATGTTTGCTCTGTTTCCTTTCTTGAATAGTAAAATGACTTCGGAGTTGTACCATTCTTGAGGAATCTTTCCTTCATCAATTACTTTATTAAATAAAACATTTAATACCTGTTCCATTTTTCAACATTTTAACTGTAATCTTATCCTCTCCCGGACATTTATTCGTTTGAAGTTGATTTAGGGCCATTCTTATTTCATAGTCGGTTATGTCCGGTATTTCTTCTGAGCCGGTGTTAATTATTGTTCGTTGAGTACGTCGTCGTTGTGGTTGTGTATTTACCGAGCATAGTTTAGTGTAGAATTTTTCAATGGCCTCGCTTATTTCCTTTCTGTCTCTGACGGTGACGTTTTTCTCATTTTTTATTTCTATGATTTTTGTTGTGGCGCTTGAGTTTTTTGCTTTGAGTACTTTCATGTTGCAGTTATCTTGTATTATATTTTTTATTAGAGTGTTATTATAGTTTCTATGATCGTTCCTGATTTCTTTCTTCATATTTTTGTTTAAACTTTTAAAGCTGTCCGAAGTTCGATGTGTTCTGTTTCGTCTTTCTTGGAGTAGTTTAATTGTATTAGGTTTGAGTTTAAACGTTTTGGCCGTTTTCGTGTTTGAGCATATTTTCTTAAACCATGTTGTTACAGTTACTTTTATTTTAGTGGCTAGTCCGTTTATATCCATTTGTTTCAGTGTCTCTATTGATTTTAGTCTTGTGCTTAGCTCTTTTTGGTATTCCGTTTGTTTTTGAAACAGGACATCGTTCTCGTTTAATAAGTTTGCTTCGTTCTACTCTCGTCTGTATTTTCAGTCACAGACTAACGTCTGTCACGTCGGTGCATATGTTTTTGTTATTGGAGAGTATGTAGTCTATTTCGTTCTTAGTTTTCTTGTCTGGGCTGATCCATGTCCATTTACGTTGTTTAGATTTTTTAAAGAAAGTGTTGAGACAAAATCATTTTTCGTTGTTTAAGTAGTTGTACAACATCTCACCCCTTTCGTTCCTGTTGTCCAGCCCAAAGCGACCGATATATTGTGTGTCGCCGTCTTCTTTTGTACTGTTAACTAATTTAGTACTCAGTTTACAAGTTATATTCAAAATATAAATGCAGTTCTCTGAACGATAAGAAAGCTATGAATAGTTATTCCTTTGGCAAAATACATTTTGCGCGTTTTCTCAGTTCATCGACAATAATTGTTGCTTTAAGGTATCGGTATAATTTTATTTTGAGACCTCAAACTGGTGGAAGTTGTATGTAAAATCGGTTTTAAGTACCATGTGTTTGTTTTTTTGTTAATAAAACAACTTAATTAAAATATTGTCTTTATTTATTAATCAAAAATACATTTTTTTTATAAAATTAATAAAATTAGGAAACTACAAGTATTGCCAAGAAATATTCATCACAAATCTCCAAATGATATAAATGAAGGTAACTCGCCCAATGTCGGTCTTGTTTTAAAACCAATTGGATGATTTGAATCGACTTCAACAGAAGATTCAGAATTTTCACACTTTTGTACATTTTCTTTGTTTTTATCTGAATAATATCTGGTATTAACTACTGATTCTATCTCAGTCTTTTCTTCATTTTTATTAGCTAATGCTACTGATCGATCTTTAGATGTTGTGGCATTTTCATTAATATGTTTGGAAGATTTCTTGGCAAATTTATTCTTATTGAAAACAGAATATTTTCTTACCATTCTACCATGTGGATAGGAACATCTCGGCTTCTGGCAAGTGCCTTTCTTCTCAAAATCTGGACACAAAAACTGGTGACGTTTGTCACACTAGAAAAAATAGGTTAATAACTGATTTCTTAACAAAGAATATATTTATTAATATATACAAAGTTTTGTAAACGATAGGGGAGGCTGTTAAACCTTGACCATGGTGTACCTTGTGCCACAGTCAATATCCGACTAGTGCCGCTAAGGACCGAGTAATCGTCGTACCTAGGTAGCCATGCCACGTTCGTACTGTTTATATGTGTTTTACGGAGGCCATTACGGAGGTGTTTTATATGGCCATTCGTCGCCTTTGTCGGAAGTTGTGATTTTATTGTTTTTGTGAGCAAAAGTAAAGATTGAAAATCTTTAGTAGTCTGTCTCTTGCGTGAAAAGTGCAAGTCTTTATCATTTAGTGAAAGGTTTGGTGTGGGTAGCTATTTTTGTTTATTTTTGCTTACTCGTGTACCTTGAAGCCAAGCTGCATCTTGTAATTTGGACCGGCCTAGGGTACAATAGGTTGCAGTGATTTTTGTTTATTATAGATTGAACTTCATCATGGCACGAAGCAGAACAGGCATCAAAATGGAAAAAATAAATGCTGATGCATAATGAAGACCCCAACAAAAGAATGACTTGAGAAACGTCAATAAACGTATTTTAACCTTTAATTATTCCCATTTAAATAGTAAATAAGAGAATGACGTTTCGAGAGGAGGAAAAAGTATTTAAAGTAAGCAGATCTACAATAACTAGGCACTTAAAGAAATACAAGAAAAGTGGGGCCGTTTGAGTATCTGAATATTCTGAAAACTATATATCCAGAATGTCCCAAAAATGCAATACAGTCTGACAAAAAGAGTCAGAATTTTGGCTTTCAATTTCGCAAAGGCCAATAAAAAAATACTTAGAAACATGGCTAAGGAAGAATGGATGCGAGCATTTTTAAAACTGACAAGATTTCGATTCGAACGCCAGAAGCCACAAGTCTCCGTACCCCAAGCTTCAATCGCCACAACGTGCAGTTTTTTTTTTTTTTTCAAAACATCATCATCAACATCATGGCTTATTCACTCCTGGCGGAGTGTTTGCCGCCCTTTTGGGCTCTCTGGTTCATTTATTGCGGAGAATCAGTCCGCTGTTGTTTTTTTTTATTATTATAGCAGCGTGTGTGACTTGGCCCTGTCTACAATTTTCCTCCATTCTTTCCGATCCTTACAGCGCTCCTTCCAATTGTAGATTCTCAGCTTCTTTATGTCTCCTAAGACTTGATCTCTCCATCTTGTTTTGGGTCTCCCCTTTGGTCTCTTTGTTATTGGTCTCCATCCAGTTATTCGCTTTAGCGTAGAGTCTGGGTTAGCTCTTTCTGTGTGCCCCAGCCACCTGAGCCTTTGCGTCTTAACGAACTTGATTATGTCTTCACCCTCGATGACTTCTTTAATTTCTTCATTGGTTAATCTTCTAAATTCGCCTACACTTATCCTCACCGGCCCCATTATTCGTCGAATTATCTTTCTCTCTAAGATTTCTAACCTCATTTCATCTTTTTGTGTTAGGCACATCGTCTCTGCACCATAGGTGTTCACTGGCCTGATTGCAGTCTTGTAAATTTTTAATTTGGTTTTCTTACTAATGTGTTTTTCTTTCAAGAATTTTTGGTAGTTCCAGTAGGTTTTATTACCCAGTAGGATGCGTTCATTTATTTCATCTGTTCTATCATTTCTGTCATTTACCATCACTCCCAGGTATTTGAAACGGTGTACTCTTTCAAATGTATAAGCACTAAGCTTAATTTCTTTCTCTATGTTCGTATTCTTTCTTGAACACTTGAGGTATTTCGTTTTGCTTTGGTTTATTACTAGCCCTCTCTTCTTTGCTTCTTTATCTAGTATTAATATTATGTTCTGCATGGTTTTTAAATCTCTAGTAACCAGTGCAATATCGTCTGCATACGCAATCAGTTGGGCTGAAGATTCGATAATCGTTCCCATAATTTTGGCTGCTCTTACTGCGCCCTCTATGGCAATGTTAAATAATGTTGTTGACAGGGAGTCTCCCTGTCTGACACCTACCTCCATTTGTACTTCATCTGACGGGCCTTCCTTTGTTAAGATTCGTGCCTTGGATTCCTTCATCGTCATTTTCGTGAGACTTATTAATTTTTCTTGGATGCCTAATTGATTCATATCCTTAATTAGCTCCTCCCTTATTACACTGTCAAAAGCTTGCTTGTAGTCAATAAACAGTATACGTAGATCTATTCCGTGCTCGTAACTTTTTTCGACTATTTGCGTTACAATGTGTATTGCATCTATTGTTGACTTACCTTCTCTGAATCCATGTTGGTATTCACCTACTTTTGTTCTAGTTTCTTTTTCTATTCTTTGTCTGATCAAATTAGTTAATATTTTGTACATTGTATTTAATAACGTGATTCCCCTGTAGTTAGTGCATTTCGTCTTGTCGCCTTTTTTAGGGATTGGTGTTATCAGACCACAATTCCAGTCGTTCGGCATGCTTTCTTCTTCCCATATTCGTTCTATTAGATTGTGGATTCTGTGGGCTAGTTCCTCTCCCCCATTCTTAAAGAACTCATTTATAATATCGTCTGGTTCTGCTGCTTTCCTTGTCTTTAATCTGTTTATAGTCGCCAATAGTTCGCTGTATGAGGGAGGCTCTGATTGTTCTCCATTCCTATTTTCTGTTTGTTTTTCATTTTCTGCGTTTTCAGCATCATCTTTCTTTTTAAAACAGTTCTCTATAGTGTGTTTCCCATTCTATTTTTCCAATATTTGCTGGTATCTCTTTCTTTCTCTGTGATTTTATGTATTTGTATAGTCTTGCATTGTCATTACTATTGGCTTCGAGTTCCTGCAGTAATTCTTCGATTCATTCTTCTTTTTTCTTTTGCAGCATTTGTCTGACTCTTTCTTCTTCTCTTTATAGTGTAGGAGATCTTCTTGTTTCCCTGTGGCCACCCACCTGTGTCTTGCTTTATCCTTGTCTTTACTAGCTTGCTCGCATTCTTCATCGTACCAATCCTTTCTTTTATTGTTTTCCATTAGTCCTATCGTCTCCTCTGCTGTTGTTAAGATACTATCTTTTATGTCCTCCCATGTTTTATCTATGCTCGATGGTTTTAGGACTAGTAGTTTTTTTCCAATTTAGTGCAGAATTTTCTGTTTGCATTATCTGTATTTAGTTTCGACCGATTCCACCTCTTTCTTTTCTTTCTGTCGTTTTTATCTTTAAGTACATTCAATTTCATGTCGCCTATCACCAAAATGTGATCCGAATCAGCATTGGCTCCCCTGTAAGACCTTACATTCTGAAAAACATAAGAGGCGTTTATAAACGTTTTGGGCTAATTCCACCGGAACGGATTTAGAATACTGAGGAAACAGCAATGAGCACTGTCCAAAACCAATAAAAAATAGTCGGACCTACAGTCCAATAAGGGGATGAAACAAATTGATACTTCAATGTCTGCTGAAAGAGGGTAGTTGGTAACGATGATAGGACAGAATGATGTTTGGAGGGCCTCCCCTGTATGTATTGCTACTGCTTCTGTAACTAGATGGTCAACAGAGAAAACTTTGTTAAAATTTCGTGATCACTTTCTGAACTATGCCAGTTGCTCTAAAGAAAGGTGCTTACTTGTTCTTGATAATCATGAAACACACCTTTCTCCAGAAACCTTTGACAAGGTGTCTGATGCAGGAGTAGTGATGGTTACGTTTCCTCCCCACAGCAGCCATAAGCTTCAGCCGCTGGACCTTTCAGTCTATTCACCTCTTAAAACCTATTACAACCAAGCGGTTGAAGCGTGGTTGATCCACAATGCAGGGAAAATATTTGATATATACACAGTTGGTGAAGCTTTTGGAGCGGCTTACCCTCGAACATTTACGTCCAGCAATGATATTTCGTAAATCTGAAACCTACCCCTTTAATGAAGGGGTGTTTTCAGACGCCGATTTCTTAGCTTCTTATCTCACTCGCTCGACAATCTCACCCCTTCCAGCTTCAATAGACACCACATCAGAAGTAGGGACTTCAAGTGAAACAGCTGATTCTGTTGCTTCTCCTGCAGTGCGTTTGGGTAATACAAGCTAGCCGCTTGGTAATGTTTTAGGACCTTCGAAAGAACAGCTTACCCACTCCACATGTTTTTGTTTCAGTTGCGTGAACTTCAGGTGACACAAGTCATTCAGTTCCTGTTTTGTAATACAACGAATTCTACTCACGAAAGTAAAGAACCTGAATTTCTATAGACAAAGTTCTATATAAAAGATTTATCGGAACAAGTTCAGCCTTACCTTATGGCAGAGGCAAAGAAAAGGAAAGCTTGTGGAACAAAACCAGGTAAAACCACGATAGCTACAGACACTCCAGAGAAAAATGCTATAAAAGAAGAAAAGAAAAAGCATGAACAAGAAAGACCCATATGTACAAAAGCCAAAACAAAACAGAAATTAATTGCCTAGTCTTCTGATAGAGATGACGATGAAGTATTATCAATTGCTTCTAGTGGCAGTAAAGACAGTGTAAACGAAGAATGCGTTAACTGCAATAACTCGAAGGTTTCTGATAACAGTGGATAAAAATGGTATAGATGCATCTTTTGTGGCCGATGGACTCACTACCTCTGTGCCGGGGTTGAAGGAAGTGCTTGGAATACATGTTTGCGACTTCCACTATGTTTAATTGTTTAAGCTAACTTTGTTACAGGGAACATAATATTCGCCAAAACCGTTATTTCACCTTTGTTACCTTTTTCTAAACATCTTATGGTACAAGAAGTTTGTCTCAAAAAGCATCATGATCCATGGTGCACATAATTTTTCAAATTTTATAAAAAACAACTAATATAGAATTTAATTTTTATAAAACCGTTCTCGACGTAAGAAAAGGTACTGTCTTGAATGCTTAATAATGGCAACAATCAATAGCAGAGTATTTAAAGGAACAAAACCCAAAAACTGGTCCAAGGTAAAACAGTCTCCCCTACATATGAAAATCACAAAATAGCTAATTCATAAATAAATTTAATACGATCACTT